GCATATCTGCCGAAGCATGATGATGAGTTTGCTAGAGCTTTGATAACTCTTGCACTTTGCCCACGCTAATCCGAGCGAATGTATCAGAGTTGCCATCAGCGGCTTAGCTTCGGCAAAGTCAATCTCTTCTACGGTCTTGAAGCATTTCGCCAGAGGCATTAGATACAACGATATATCCTTCGCTTCGGCCAATGAGGAAACAACATTGTCAAACAACGTACGAAAACAAGGAAAATACGCACTATCAGTTTTCTCAAGAATTGTCGCCATTTTTTTCACACGATCCTCTTGCAATTGATCGTAGATGTATCTGCAAAAAATACGCGCGATAATAAATATTCTTATGTGATATACTGTAAAATGAAAATGTTTATTTGATTGTCTTATAAAAGTGCCGTATGAAAAATACATCATCTATATTATTTGATACCTTAAATTTGCCAATCTGGTAGACCAATATTCTAGCTCAACATTGGGTGTCGGATTTTGTCCATTATCAAACGCGATGCTGGATTCATGAGTGACCACATCATTCACTAAATAAGCCCATTTTATCACCACACCTTCTATAGCACTTTTTAGATATAAATCAACCGCTTGCGGTCCTTCTACAGAAACCAATCTTTCGACTTCTGTCACCTTTTCGAGACCAGCTGGCATCGGTAATACCGTTCGTCCATTTACTTGACCTTTCACCTATCCATTCAAATATAAAATATTTTCTACTATTTTTATTTTATTTGAAAAAAAAATTAAAAAGATTTTCCACTATTTTTATTTTATTTGAAAAAAAAATTAAAAAGATTTAACTATTGATTGCTTATTACCTGATACAATGTGCCACGAAGAGCATGCACATGTTTACATATATCATGAATCGCTATTTCCGGTAAATCTTTATGATTTTCCGGCTTGGTGAGAAGAGGAGCGACGATATTATCCACTAACGTAGCCAATTGATCGACAATCCGATGGGATAGATCTCCCACGATTAACATGGCCGAACATGCTTCCTTGTCTTTCGGTAGTGGCGCTTGTGTTACTTTGACTGCGTAAACTCCTGTAACAATAACATAAATTTTCTTTATTTTCTTAATATAAATGCTTATTATATATTTACACCAAATAAATCGGTATTGAAATGGAATAGAAAATTCTTAGTACAATATTTAACCCGAGAGTAAGCATATTTCGAAACTAACGTTTGAGTATAGGCGCGTCCTGGTTATTTTGACCGAAATATATTTTCGCACATATATGTGTTATAACTAGAGAATACATATATGATTATAATATTACTATAATACTACTAAGTAATAATTAGTAAGAAAATGAGACTACAAACATTAATTACACTAACGTAAGTAAGTTTACATACTATTGCGTACCGGGACGGACGTGTTCCATTTCGATTTGGGTACCTAATTTCATACCTAATTTTTGTCAAGTTGTTGAACTTTTTCATAATTGTTTCCTTTTTTTTTTTTATTTATTACCTGCATTTTCGAACTAGTTTATTTGCCAGATTGCCGGGTTGACTGCGAGAGTCAATAAAAGAAGAAAAAAAAGACTAATATAACGCTACGGTCTTTTAGATCAACTGTTACAAACATGTCCAATTTTAGATATAAGCGTGTTTACGTCATCTATTTTGGCATACTATACGAAAACATTAACAAACATTTACGTAAAGGTAAAAATATAATATAGTGCCAATAAATTGAAAGATATAAATAGAAAATAGAAGTACGGCAAAATGATCATAACGCGACCACTCCCGAGTAACTGTTAAAATATAATTTCTAATTATTATAAATTTTGATATAATATTTTTATATATAATTATTTTTATTCATAAAAAACTTACCCTTTGTTCTCTGACACGGTATGGGAAAACTGGAAGACGCTACTAATTGCGCATTTGGTGTTAAAACGACAAAAAGAGCGATTGGTAATGGCTTGTCCAAAAAATCCAACACCACATTCCGATATTCTTCTGTCAGTAATAATCTTCCCCATTTTTCTGGCTTTAATTTCAAACTCTTCTGCACGAAACCGCCGATATATTCAAGTCGGAAGTCAGCTGGTGCTTCCGGAGTAGTCATTTCTGTTTATAATATCAAAAGACATTTGAATATTTTCTTCTATTATATAGAAAGTTTAATGTAATTTTTAAATAATAATATTTATTTATAAGCTAATATACATATTACATCTTGATAGATGTATGTACGTGTGTTTATCTGTCAATTATATTCAATTTATCGATTATAAATGGAATAAAAAGAATTAAATATATTGATGAAATTTCTGAAAACAGATCATTAACAATTATGTAATAGCAACTTGAAGAATGAATGACTAAACGATGTTCTGCGTCGAAAACTTTAGTTTAGAATTTGTTAGAAGCGACGCTTCTTACAAATTCACGAGGACGAGCGATCGTAAATCCGAAATTTTGCTGACGCAGAGTATTATGCTTCGTAAATGGCTGTCGTGCAAACGGGTCAGGAAACCAGGTACGGACTGAACCAGCGAAAAGCAGTTTGGTATTGGACTATCGTGTCTCTCCCAAGTTGGAACCTCGCTCGCTCGTTGGCCCCCCTGTTGTCGCGGAACGCACGTAATATGCTGAAAACAACTGACATTGCACGCGATGTCCGCCTTCCGCGCAGCGGCAGGTACGATCTCATTCCTTTTGCGAAGTTTCCTCAGACTCGCGCAGCCCGAGTCTTCCGGTCGCTAGCGTGATGTTATTTCGGCTCCTTCTACCCACGGCCTTGCAACGATGTAGATCTTCGTTACAACCGTAAGTTCCAAACATGAATATTAGCATGTTGTAAAACGAAGTTAACTTTGCTCGCCGCGCGTTCAGCGAAGTCTTTTACATGGAAGACGACTTTGATATCACATTGAAAGAGCAATTTTACTAAAGAATCTAAAATTTAACTAAACACAAATCTGAAAAATAATTTTGTTCCACAACTAAAATAATTAGGCAAGACAACCAAAATTGGTTGTTAGAATATTAAAATATTTGCAGTATTGCTCATGCTTAAAATTCCTGCAAAATTCTGTTGATGTTCCAACAAAATTATTATTTTTAGTAATTATTGTAATTAGTTCTGTATTTAGTTCTGTATCTAGCCAAATTTTTAGATTATTCAATAAAATTACTCTTTTAGTGTAGACAATTTTTTTCGTGGCCTGTTCATTTGAATATTCATATAATTTTATAAAATACCATCAAATTTAAACTGCGATGTTGTAACATAAGATTTCCGTATATTGTAGAAAGTATAAACTAGATTGCTTCGATTGACGTCTATTGTCTTCCAAAGAACTTTTATATGAAATTTATAATGAAGGTGTGCAGAGTATGTGACGAGAAAAATAAGGAATAATTATGTTTTACAAAATTAGTTTTATCTTCTGCTACAAACATGAATATAAATTTTAATCAATAACATGAATCTAAAACGCACGTCACGGAAAGTTCTACTTAATGCAAAATAGAATCGTTTGAAATGTCACTCTGTACCGTGCACCACTTTCGCGCACAAAGGAAAGAATAGACTTGAATATTTCAATCGATTAATCGTAAAATCTCCATGTTAAAAAAAGAATACTTTTGCTTTATCTTGTGCGTATTTAATTACACTTGTTCTGCAGCAGTTACTCTATTAATTAATTCGCAACTTCGATCTTCTTTTTCTTTTTACTTACTATAAAATTCGCTTCCACATTTTCGAGTAATGCAAGATAGGAATTTTTCCAAAAGATACGTACATGACATTTTTAAACTTTTAAAATATTTTTCACGCGTCTTTTTTCAAACGTTAAGAAATTAAATGAACGATGCTAAACGTAAACATTTTTAATTTTACATTAAATAAATTTGCATCAAAAAGACGTAAAATGTTATTGCACATGTTGCATCTCTCAAAACTCGGTTGAATAAGCCCAGCGTTGTAACATTCAAAATGAGCGTATTAAAAATCCGGTTGTGTCCGATCGAGCACGCCGCTCGCGTTATGAGGGTGAAGAGAGTTTCTCTTTCATCGCTTTAATCCTAGTACACGCACGTGCACGCACACGAGTTACCCTACGGAGAGCGTATACGCGCGCATATACAAAGGGCCCCGGTGCTTTTCATTTCGCAGATATTCGCCCTTCTTCAAATTAGGAAAAAAAAGGGACGAGCACATCCCCCCATACTCTAGCCCACCATATCAAATTACTCCGCCTCCTTTCCACCTTTTTATCCACCGCTCGTGCGTTCCGCTTGCACCCTCGCCTCGCGCACGGGGGTGCGCGAGAAAAAAATTCGTCCTCGCTGGATGGCCACGGAAATTGGAACAGCACGGACTTTCATCCGGAACGAAGATGGTAAATACGCTGTAACAACATGTAAAAGCTTTCTCATATAGTCTTTGTACGTAGTACGATGTTACTATTTACGAGATTTATACATAAAAAGGGTGCGAACAAAGTTCTGCAAAATTCAAGATGATGTGACATTATATTTGAAAGTGATTTAATTGTCTCTTCAAGATTCGTTTCGTTTAAGTTATACTCTAATTATGCGAGTCAACAACTGACTCAAACATGTCTCTAAATTTCAAGCAAACATATCGCTATGTAAAATCTAAAAAAAATAATAAAACGAAGTATTTTATATATTGTATTTACAATATTAAATCATAATATTAAATCATAATAAAATTAATTTAAGAAAAAAAAGGAAATCTTATTACGTAGTAAATAAGAGAAATTAAATCGTGGCGACATCGCATTTTTGCGAACAGACGCTTATATTGAGTTGTTCAAAAAGTCATTGCGTTTTTTCCAATAGATGGCGATGTCCATGTTTATTTGTATGCGAGCGTGAATGAATGTCAAATGTTTACGCGCGTTTTGTTATTGACACTCAACCTAAAAACCAAAAAAAGAGTTGACGCGATTCGGTCGAGTTTTGTGCTTGCAATTGTGGTTCGAACATGGAGAATTTTGAAGAGCATATTCGTCATATTCTGTTTTATTATTTCAAAAAAGGGAAGAAAGCAAGAGAAAAGTTGCGTCGAGTTTACGACAGAAATGTCAAAAAACGTCAGTGTAAAAACTGGTTCGCCCGATTCCGTGATGGTGATTTTTCAATCAAAGACGCTCATCGCTCCGATAAGCCTTCCAAAATTGATGACGATGAAATGAAAGCATTGATGCAAGCAAATAAGTATTCAACGGTTCGGGAGCTTGCTACCGCTCTAAAAGTGTCCGTTGGAAGTGTTTATGGTCATGGTTTATGGTTTGAAATCGCTAGGCTTCGTAAAGAAGCTCGATGTTTGGGTACCGCATGAGTTGAAAGAAATTCATCTGACGAATCGCATGAACGTCTGCAATCAATTCATCAAACGCGAAGAAAACAATCTGTTCTTGAAGTATGATCACGGGTGACGAAAAATATTTACAACAATGTCAACCGAAAAAAAAGCCAAAGAAGAAGTGGAGTAGGCGAGGTGAAGCACTGAAAAGGCAAGCAAAGGCGGAGATCCACCAAAAGAAGGTAATACTGTCAATGTGATGGGATTGGAAGGGACCAGTCTTCTATGAGCTACTTTCAAAGAACAAAACGATTAATTCCGATGTCTACTGTGAGCAGCTGCAGAAATTAAGTGATGCTATCGTACAGGAACGTCCCGAGCTAATCAACCGTAAGGGTGTGATGTTTCACCACGACAATGCGAGACCACACACAAGTTTGGTCACTCAGCAAAAATTGTTGCAACATGGTTGGGATGTGTTACCACATCCATCGTATAGCCCAGACCTTGCATCAGACTTCCATCTCTTTCGCTCCTTGCAAAACTCCTTGAATGAAAAAAAACGTTTGTTTCTGAAGATCTCATCAAATAGTACCTAGACAAGTTTCTCGCAGAGAAGGATGGGAAGTTTTATGAACGTGGTATTCTGAAGTTGCCCGGGAGATGGCAGAAGGTCATCGAAACAAACGGCCAATATATATCATTGATTAATGTTCATTACGTATATTAAATAAACACACCTGAAAATCAAATGAAACAAACGCAATAACTTTTTGAACAACCCAATATATAGGCACATATGTTATGAGTCAAGATATTTATATGAAAGAAAAAAATATCCGCACAATTGCGTTATATCAAAAATACTAATAAAAAAATATTGATAAATTCCATTTTTCAACTTTCGACATATATATGTCATATACATTTACGTATTTTACGTATATAGAGACATATCTTTGCAATTTAATTGTTAATTTTTTAAATGTATACATAAATATCTCACACAGCATACTGAAAACTTTTCGGAAAGAATTTAATCATATTTACTTTTATATGTTATTAATTCGACAGTTACAGCTATATAGCTTATTTATTTTTTGTTGTACATAATTTATTCTTAAATAGGTGTATAGGTTATTTATTAATAGGTTATTTATTAATAAAGCAAGCAGGAGTTTTCGGCACATTTTATAAAATCTATCGATTGTAAGTGCTATTTTAATGAAAATTTTCATTTTACTAATTAAAATTTAACTATAAATATAAACTCTATTCATATTAAAAAAAAGTACTTTCAGAAGCTTCATGAGCCCTCTCTGATCAAGCTAAAAAAAGTCTTTCTTCTTCTTTCTTAATTATTGGCTCTCGCCTTCCGAAATAGTAAGCAGAGGCGATACAGCCAGATCACGTCTTATGAGATACAAAGATGATGCAATGCCCAAGAAAATAGCGAAACAACCGAGCCGAGACGCGTTCGCCGAGTTCTTCAGAACTCTATCAAGCTAAGAGTAAATGACGAATAGTCAATTCTTAAATCGATGTCCATAATTAAAAGTTACAAAACTCAATTCTCGTTTGACGGCGAGAATTTTGTTTAGTCCCATAGTGTAAGGCTAATGTCAAGATTATTTGTATTAATGGTGTAATTGTAATATGATTTCTTCCTTTTCTCAGATTCTCAATATATAATAATACTTTTTTTTAGTTACAAAAAGTGACAAGAGTGAAAACGTTATGCTTAGTTTTCAAATACGTTACATAATTACGTTATTGTAATTACACCATTAATACATAAATAATCTTATTAGTTTTACACTATGGGCTACTAAAAGAAATTCGCCGTCAAACGAGAATTGAATTTTGTAACTTTTAATTATGGATATTAATTTAAAAATTGACTTGATTCACTATCAATAATCATCAATTGACATGGAAAAATTATTCTCGATTTGCAATATTGTTAAACAAAATAAATAGGTTTATTTTATTATATTGAAGACTCTATGAATCGAAACATTTATTGTTATATTCTTTTTAATGGTATGTTAAATTAATTTTAATAAAACATCTTGTATTGCTCATATATTTGATCGTTGATATTTGAATTATTTTGCTGTGCAAACTTCGAGCGTTATTTATTTATATCATTGTATTATTAGAAAACTACGTTAAGATATAAGTATATCATTAAGGAACAATGAATAAATTAACAATATTTATAATTAACAATATTTAATTTAAATAATATAGTTTGAATAATAAATAATCTCGGAAAGGACAATTTTTAATAAGAAAAAAAAATTATTTTCTATAATCTAATACATTGTTCTTTTCTAAATTTGTTCAGTTTAAATATAATGAAACATTCTGCTCAAATATCGCGTGATTACATCATGCGCATACCTTTGTCTTTATATTATGTACAAATGAAGTTCGTCATTTACTCTTAACTTGATTAATGTGCTTATGGAGCTTCTGAAAGTACTTTTTTTTAATAAAGTTATTTATGAATAATTCTATTTAACTAACTATGGTTAGTTTCATGAGACGCATATTCATTTCCTGCATTTTGTATCATATCGAGACGCAGATATATTCTTGTAGAAAGGTACTACTGCGCAATAGTGCTCAGTAGTATTTTTTTACAAGAGTTTAACGCTCTAAAAAACATTTTAGGACGTCCACTGGATAAAGACAAAATAAAATTTGATCATCTAGAAATATCCTAATGATAACTAAACGATGATGTCCTATGGGTGCAGAATAAACGGACATATAAACATCCTCAATTTATCCTAAATATCTCCTAAGTTTCTTCAGATACATATTCTGGATGTTTGAAAATCCCTCGACGTACATTTGTAGAATCAAATTTTGTTGTGTGGGTTTCTTCACGAATTTAAGACCCATTTTTCATTAATTTATTGAGTATGATTTCGAGGCTATATGAAAATTCGTGTCGCATTACAGCAAAAATAGTTATACTGCATGGTAAATAAGAAAAATTTATGATGTTCGGTTATATATCAGAAAAATAACGGTAATTCGAGCTCATTTTTTACAGACATATGTAAATATCTAAATTGAGACGGAAATTTCAAGACATTCTTGAGTAATACATTTTGGGACATAATCTTAAATGTCTTCTTTATTTCTTTGTTATCTTAGGATAAAGTAGACATTATAGATTTTCGAAATCGACATAAAACAATTTGCGCTTGACAAAGAAATGACTCTCAACGTTATCTACCCTTCGAGAAATTTGTCTTGCCAACCATTCGTCATTCCCCATGCGATTTCCGTCGCACCGTCTAACAAACCGGCTATGGATTATCGCATGTCTTCGCGAAACAGATCATCCAATGGCATCGCCTCCTCTTCGCCGTTATCATCATCGCCATGGGATATTCCGCGTTTTTGTCTGGCACGACATTGAAATTGATGATCGAGAATCCACGAGCCAAGTCGAGTATTTCACTTTAAGAGTTTTCGGATGAGTGAATAATGTGATTGCGGGGGCGAAACGTAAGCGCGCGCACGCATGCCTCCAAGAAAATGATTTCTTATTTAGGGAGCTTTTGAACTTGATGTCATTTTTCACACGCGTGTCTTTCTCATCGCACGGCTGCAACGATATAACGAGTGTCTTCCACGGCTTTCCCTCTTGCTATCATAAGGAATAAAGGAATATTTCTCGGCTTCACGGGTAGCGTGCGTTTTCCAATTTTTTTCACGCACGAATCAGTAATGGTTGCGCCCGCGAAAAATGAGATTCTGATGATATGTGTACGCCGTTCGATACGTCTGGAAATATCGAGAGACATGAATCCGACATTTCGCATGCTCTTTTGAGAAATCGTTTGTTCAATGGTATTTCGCGTCAATTATAAACTGTCGATGTGATCCACTATTTCTGTAAGAATGATAATAACAAAATGGATGTATGAAGAAAAATAATATATCATGCATGCTCTCGTCAAGTGTGTTTTGATGAAAAAGCATTTCTCACTGCACGCTTTCGCTCGATGGTTAACAGAAAATTTTTTACGATAGTCAATATACTTTAATTCAAACTATTCGCCTATTGTAAGTATATATTTTTTACAATATATATTTATAAAAATGTTACAATATATATAGTATAATTCAAATTCTCTATTGCGTATCTTATAAAAATATTCAATTCTTAAATAATATAATATCTAATAATATAATATCTGTGTATAACAAGAAATAGGACTTAAATACCTTTTTCATTGTCCTTGATAAATAAAAAAAATTATAAGAAAATTACAATAACACGTTATCACAGATAATTACATTTTGCATGTTGTAATTATATGTAATGCTATACATTCGTGTGGCTTACATAAAAAGCTTTTAGCAGTTTTTTGCGAGATAACTAAAAATTCAGTTAGATATAGATCTGAAAATAATTTTATTGAATTATCAAAATAATTATGTAGATAGATTGGTTGTTAGAATATAAAAATTTTTTGCAGCATTGCTCATTATGCTTAAGTTTCCTGCATAATTACTTCGATAGCCCAACAAAATTATTTTTAGAACGTATCTAGTTAAATTTTTAGAAATTTTAGCAAAATATCCTTTTATATATCCGTGTATAATCAAATAAAATGGCACACAACGGAATCCTCGTAACATCCTCGCTATAAATTGAAAAATAATTCAATGATGTCAGTTAAATCAAAGGCAAATAAAAATTCAGGTCAATAAATTCACTCCGTAATCGAGAAAGTATTTTTTTGAGTGAGAAAGTGTAATGTGTGATATTTGGATTAAATCCGTTTGGTCCGAGATTTCTTAGCAGACGAGAGGGAGGCTTTAAAGCATGTCAAATGGAAGAGAGAAGGATGTCAAGCGCTCGCAGGAAGGCTCATACAAGCTTGACAGCCAGTATTATGATAATCCAGAATCGCGGTGCTGCGTTCTACGTGCCAATTCTCTCAGCCGGGAAAGCTGAAAGGGAAGGAAGCGTGAAAGCCTCGAAAAACACATTTTATTCATCGATG